GGACAGATGGAGGAATGCCATAAGAGTAGCTTATAATGTATCACTGTAAATTCAGCTGTGTACCCAACCCAAACAGGCAGAAAAATTGCTGGAAAACAAGTTTACATTACAAGCAGAAAAAGAGCTAAAACCTAGAAAGATTTCATATTTCTTTGTGACCATAAATGCTTCATTATTGAAGGGCCTGAAAGGCAGAGCAATAGCAAACGAACCATGAAGGACAGCTCCTGCTCCAAGCCACCCCGCTCAAAGCGCAGAACAACAGGCAACAAGCAGATGAGGAAGGAACATCAGACAACGAGGAGATGATACTCGTCATCCTGACTCACAATGAGCCACAGCTCTACAAGAAAGACAAAGAGCCATCTTCAAACTCAGACTACTTCAAATTCAGACTACACACGTAGTATTAATTCACTGTATTTGGAAGGAGGCTTCTTACACAGTCAGTGAAGTGAACAGCAAGAAATGCTTCTGGTTTCTTGATCCAGTCACTTAGTCCAACCCTTATGCACAAGTTCTTTGACAATTTGGACTTTGACTTGGCCTTGGCCAGTGGCAGAGAACTACATAAATCAGGCTCTAATAAAGGCAGTCAATAGATGGCAGTACTCTAATGAGACGGGAGAGAAGTCATCACACAGCAAGTCTCAGCAATGCCACCTTTGCTCACGATTTCCCTGAGAGGGGGGCAGAGCTAGAGGATTTAATTAGTACCCATCAGAGTTTCTCATCTTTTGGTCCCTGCGTTTGATAAAATACAACACAAATTTCAGGTTTAACCCATCTCACAACTTCAGCTATTTGGATGCAATGCACAGAGGCTAAATGCTTCTCTCTATTGTCCTAACAGGTAAATGTCAGTCAAAAGCAAGCCTTGTGCTCAGCTCCCCTTGGGCATGGAGAAGGGTTCAGCATTTGCCCTCGGTTACATTGGTGTCTACAGCTCTTGAGCATTATCAGCTGCTGCCAATTACCCACTCTCAGTGGAGACAAGTCTAGGTCACTACCTAAGAAGGCAACTTTTTAACTGACATCTCATGCTAAGTCAAGCATTCTGTCTTTCTGTCCTTAGATATTGACTTTTCTTGAAGCACTTGTTAATTAGGTCTCTCAATTCAAGGGGCAGAATCATGACAAATAGGAAGGATTCCGACAAGACCATTTAACTCTGAAGATGTGTCCTGCAAACACGTGCGTGAGGACAGTCAGGCTCTTCTATGAGTGTATCAGATGTAATAAAGTCATTAGGACCAGAATTTCCCTGCTTATATTTAAATTTTGTACTGACATGCACCAAATCTACTGTTCCTAGGCTCCGATGCAGCAGTCAGAAAGGTTTCACACAAAGTGCTGTGTAGCTGGCAATGTGAAGTACGTTCATGGTTTTCCAACCAGACATAGACTAAAAACTGAATACTGAACTTGGTGCTCAGAGCAGATCCAGAATCAGGGACATCAGATGAGTGTCACTTGGATTAGAGACTTGGATTCATTAGACTACATCCAACCACACAAAGCTCTGATGTCACAGAAGTTAAGTGAGGGGGGTTTACATGGAAAATAATAATTTTACAACATGAGATTAACTAGGACTAGGGAAGAATATTTCATGTTTAAGCAGCTCTATTAAAAATTTATTTTAATAGAAGGAAGAAGGACAGCTAGTTCACATATTGAGCTATAGAAAACTCCAGGCTTGATTTTCAAGGTTATATTCTATAACTCAAAAAAATAGCATGAGCTATTGTTTTCCAAAGTTGCTACAAAACCCATAATGCCCAATTAACTGTAACTTGCCTGACAAACTCCTATATGGGAAGGGAGCACTTCCACCCTAGTTTGCTTTGGATTTCAAACAAAAGCAAGCAACTGGGAGTGCAGCACTGTCAAAAAAAGCTGAATCCAATGGCTCCTGAGCTTACTAGTCCCTTGGAGACTCAACAGCAGAAGGATGGAGATGTCAGGGAAGAACAATCAGCTGTAAAATATGAAAAGCTTACAACATCAAAACCTACAGCAGCAGGCTCAAAAGTAATAATCCCATTACCACTAAACTAAAGCACTAATTACTATTCCCAGTGGCTGGAGTGGACTGACTGCTAATGTTCCTCTGGTTAATGAAGGAAGGTGAGGGAGAATATATTTCTTAAGTCAGACATCTGCTGAAATCTGGGCAGCCATAAAAACTATGTATGTAATGAAGCCATTCGTATTAATGGCAATAACATTTGGAGGGCTGAGAAGGAACAGAAATGAGATGGCAGTGGATTGTAACTCAGAGAAGAAAAATGCTCTGTATTCTCCATGTGATGACTGCCCTTATTTAATCCATACTGAATAACGGAGCCAGTCAAAGCAATCAACCACATCTATATAGGCTGTTGCACTAACAAGAGGTAACCTGCCTAAAGAGAGGAACAACTTCTCTAAAAACATAAAGCAGGATATATGCTATTGGAAAAGGAATAAACAGCATTTTATTTTCACTGACTACAAGTACACTAAGAAAAACAGTCCCAAATCCTCTGTTTTGTGAAGAATCCTGATTTTGCCATCATTCTTTGCCTTTTTCATCAACAAGTAGTACATTGTTTAAGGTTCAAAGATACTAATTTACTGAGATAGATAGATTCTGATAAACAAAAGGCACAAAGAAAAAGCATGCCTATTCAGTTAGCTTTACTGTGTTTCTGTCTGCCAGGCTCAGAGTTTTAAAGCATTTGTAACTGATAATCAATTCAGACAGAGGGCATACGGCTTGTGGAGCAAGGCGGTTAGAGAAAAAAATTAGTTTCCCTCTTGGCATTGAAACAAGATGCACCTTGCTTAGCAAAAAGGTGACGCCACACGGGGGATCAGACCGAAAGATGATCCCGCTGCGTTCTGACCTGTTGGAACAGGGAGCTGTTAGGAGAATAACTTTCATCAACTCCAGAAAGAGAAAACCAAGCATGCCCCTACAGCGAATGCTTAAAGACATCTCACACTCCACTGTTGTTCTGTTTCATTGCCTTCAGTGTTTGGCACATACTGCACACGCTCCTTCAGAACAGAACTCCTCTCCTGCCATCCACTCGCTGTTTTCATCACTTCTTCCCATTTCATTTAGCAAACAGGGCAGCTCCAAAAAACACGCTCTCATATATTCACCACGTTTGCATATAAAGGCTACAGAATATAGCTCCACAGAGCATGTTCTGCACTCACAAACTTACAAGTTACAGAACTAAAATAAACTACTTAGACAAACTGCTATGAATGATTCATTTGTCCCTGCGAATGTTCTCAGGTGAACTGGGTGTGCTCAGATTTTTTTCAGATTGCACCATTGTCTTTCCTTTGCAATTCTGGTTCTACCTATCTAGGTTTGTTATGAAGCAGCTGAGCCTGTAAAGTAGGTGTGGTCTGCAAAGAAACCCTGTAAACATACATTGAGAAAACCAGGTCCAACACTATTTGCCTCTTCTCTGAATAAAAACACCTGTGTGCAAACTTCTTATCCACATCTATCAGACATTTTCCTCTCAAAAATATAACCTTCTGATGGCCTTGGCTACCGCTCATACTGGGTGCATCCATCTCCAGCTGTGTATACTTTATGCTTGTACTTACTTTTAAAAATCTCTAAGTAGATTTCTGTCTTACTGTTACTGGAGGTTACCCCAAATGTTACCTAAAAGGCCTCGGTAACTGCAGCTGATTACAAAGCCCCAGCCTCCCAAGGTGCTACTGCACTAACTATAGGCGTATCCAGGCTGATGATACATTTGAAAACTAAAACCAGCTACTCTCCGCTGCATGTTTATTGCCCACTTTCAAAAAAATATTTATTTTGATCCCACCATTGTGCTTCTATTTGTCAGCGAAGTGTACTCCTAAACTAAATAACTACTTGGTTTTGATATTGTTCATTGGATAACACAGTCCTTGTGGTAAAAACGACTGTGATCCACTCTAGAAGTCTGCCTGATATCTGTGGGATGTTAGAGAGGTGGCTTATACCAGTGGGGAGGCAGTGGTAAATACCACTGTGCACACTCTAACTCAAGAAGCAACAAAGACTCCTCCAGAACTGATCTCCAAGGTGGGACAGGGACTATCTTCTAAAGCTATGAGCCAGCCCAAACATCTGATCTGGCAGGAGTGCAGAGAGGGTAGGGAGAGGGAGTCCTGTGGTTCGACTCATTACCTCTCTCGTACTGCAGTGAAACTGTTGGCAGCTACTCTATCGTCTGCAGCATCACAGAGCTAGGGCTCAGCACCGACAGACCCCTCGGTTAACCCCTAGCTCTGACTTCTTCGGGTCTTCAGCTCCCTTCTATAAAATGGACGTATTATTGACCTTCCCCATGGAATAAAAAGAACTTCTTGGTCCTGTTTGATTTTGGTATCACTGTTACTCATGTTAGTGGTGCCGCTCTGTTTCCACTCCCAAATGACTTCCTGTTCTTTACATAGTGCTATCACAACAAAACAGTGATAGTAGCAGAGCATCTCAAAGCAAAAGGATTGAAGAAATGGAAAACTGTCAATGGCTCCTCTAGGCTCCTGCTGGGAGAGGATACAGGCTCTGGGGAATCACCCGCTTGGCAGTTTTTCTGTCAGTTAATGACAGGCTTTTCTACAGAAGATTTTCTCTTCTGTAGGAGTACGAGGATGTACTGCACAGTTGCAGCCCAGTAAATACATCTGTGAATATACTGCACTGCCCTCAGATTCACAAAGCAAACCTCACCAGGAAAGTCTCCCATGTGAAACAACTTACCCAAACCTGCTTCGGATTCAAATTCAAATCTTGCTGCTTTACCAAGAAATACTTTACAGTTGCTTGCTGCTAACAGTATCTAACAACAATACATTTACTTAAAAATAAGTAATCCCATATTTGCACATACACCTCTTCTCTCTGGATGAGCGAGTTCCCCTCCCTTCTGGCAAAACCCCATCATAGCCATTCAGATGCCATAACGATCATCAAGATGGGGCGAGACACTTACCGTGACCCGGAAGGGCGTCGTGGCAGCAGGCTCCATGGTGGGGTTCTTCTCCGTGACCCCGCTGGGCATGCTGCGCCTCTGCCCACACCTCTCCGGGGGGGACTCTGTGGATGGTACCGAAAACAAAGGACAATTACAAACGCACAAGCACAGGAACAGTCCAGGAACATCAGCAGGCCATGCAAAATGTGGCGTCTTCCTTTGAGATGCCCTTGCAAATGAGCCACCACAACCACCCTGCTGTATCTGCTCGTGTTTCCCAACACAGCCTGGAACAACGTTCAATCAGCAAGGCTTTCGGCTTCAACAATTAGCATTTTTCATACAACTGTATGCTTCAGATAATGCCTGACAGGTTGGCATTATCATTATTTCCAGTCTGCACATGGGTAAACAGAAAATATATTGAGCTGAGTGAGAATTATATGCAAAGTACAGATCCATGCACTTGTGGACTTGATACTCCTAGGGGAAACTGCTAATGGGGTTACAGGCACAGGATGCTTAAGTTCCCTCTCTAATTCCTCTAGCAATTTGCTAGGAAAAAATTATTAAATACTGCATTTGCTAAAGCATAAAATGTGGATAGGAATACTTACCTGCTTCCCTGTTGGTGAGGAATGGAGGAGGCTGAAAAGGCTAAATTAACAAATATGCCTATCACTGAGAAGATTAAAAAGGTATTAGGTAAGGTCAGCGACAGCATTATGAGGTGTTGTTTCCTCAGTTCACAAACCCTCTTTGAAAGCACCATGAAGCTCATAAAAATAGATCTATTTCCAAACTGCCATTCAATGGTGTTCAGACCTTGTAATAAGCTTCCCTCCGCAAACCACTCGAGAGTCCTTGTTAGCCAAGCATTTCCATGACCCAAAAGGTGATGGCATCTCCATTCTGTTGGTCAGGAAGTCCAGAAAATGGGCAAAGCCTGTTGTCATGATCACGTAGGCATTTAGTGATAATTTTAAGAAAAAAATTCCCAGATTACAGTTCTCAGGAGAGGACACACGGCTCCTCCTCGCACAGTGCTGCGGCTCTCGGGGCGCTCCCTGCACAGCCTTCCGTACGAACCTACGGGGGTCAGAGACCTGCACACCGCTTTGAAGGTTATGAAAATATCTTTATATAGATCTCTATATCAAGGCAAGAAGGTTAGAAGTAACAGCTCAATCACGTTTATGAGCAGAGTTTAAGCCCATGTAAAGTGTCAGGAGTACAAAACAAAGGACTGAGCAAATCTCCTAGTAGTGCACCTTCATTTTCAAACCCCAGTTACTCCGCTGCTTCTTTTGAAAGCAAGCACATGGGATTCTCTGAGATGAGCACTTCTTTTCTGCTTCTCCCTGCCCTGCGTGCCACTGACCACATCCAGCAGTGGGAACGCCACAATTTTTACTCAGAGACAGACTTTTGGGGACACGAAGAATTTTTACATTCAAAATCCGCCCAAAACTGTTTAAGAATTCCCAAAATGGGTACAACATTTCAACAAATATCAGGTGGTATATAAATACACTGGTGAGGTGAAAGCTGGGGAAAGGCTTTTGTCAAAAACTATCTTCTTTTGGCTTTTTTTTTTCTTTTGCCACACACTAATACATATCAAAATACTGTGCTCTGCAATCAAATCATGGTCTCCTGAACACAGAATAGTGCAGGCTTTGGAGAAGATGAATGAAGTTCATACTTCTTCTTCTCCTAGGCCCCAGAACCTTTTCTACTTTTTTATTTATCCACATCCACTGGGTTGGACTTTTGTTAACTGAATTTCTTCCTTTCTATAGGCTTCTTCTCCACAAATATCTTCTGTCCTGCACATCACCTTATCAACAAACCCTTCTGATCTACAGAAATCCCTATAACTTTGGCAAGACAGTGTCTAGATATGTAACACTCATTTACTAAATAATATGGAATCCAAGCAAAGACAACAGCAAATCAACAACAATTTCAGAATGACACTGAAAAGCAGATTTTCCACACAGTTGTTCTTGTCTTTTTTAAAAATGATGTGCATAAAAACAAATTTTAAAATGAAGCTGAAATAAAGATTGGGGGAACTCCTTCTAATAGACAATTTCACAGGCCACAGGCAAGGCCAATGACTATTACATCATTGCTAGGATTTTTTGGTTGGGAATGAGAGGTAGCCTGCAGCAGAATACCTGCTGCAAAAGGAAATTAGATGGTAGACTCTGCTAGAAGGAGGCTTCTACAAATTAGCATGCACAGGAATCTAAAGCTGGAACAACCTATACTTCAGAATGTCTCAGACAATGATGTTCTCGTAACTAGTGTAACTTAGAGGCGGTTTGTTTGCCAGTTCTCAGCCTCTGCAATCTGTTGTCATCGGGTCTTGGCAAGGAGGGTTGTCCCCTTCACAAGGTTCTCCTCTTGCCAAAGACTGCGATCACCCGGGATCTGTAAGGAACAACTGATACCTGCAGTTCCATTCCACAATTCTTGAGATGTATCTTAAAGTATTCCAGAAGGACAGACTGTGAGATTCCACCCATGGACTGGGTGATGTGCCTGTTCAGCAACACGTTCCTTGGTTGCAAATCCTGCCTGTAATTCCTCACCAGCTGCCACTCAACCTGTACGAGAGCCAGACAGCCAAAACCAGCCAGTTCATTGCTTTCACAACCTCCAGACAAGCCTTCAAATTTCTTGGCCACCTTCTTTGCAGAATGCTGCATTTTGAATCTCAAGGAGGCAATCAAGGCTTTTGGTGTCATCTCCTTCCACACTAAGGCTCCCACCCCATTCCTTGGAACAGTGACCTTTTCTTTGGACTGTCATAAAGAAACTACTTGATTACAGCATTTTGAAAGTGAGTTCAAGATGACAAGACAACTGAAGAAGCTGCTTTGCATTTTCTTAATGACCAGAAAAATAAACGTTGTTTAAAGCATTTCTCATATACGTGGCCGGAAAACAGGAACGATGGGATTACACGAAAAGCAGCTGCAAGAAATCGCCTCTCCCAGAGGCACGCGGCACAGGCACCGGGCTGAGCTCCCAGCCCAGCACACCTCCCGCCTCAGCACGGAGGGAAAGTACTCGCTGTTCCGTATGGGTCTTCCAGCACTATTGACTTCCACCACGGTGGTTTGTCGGACCAAAGTGCACAACTGTCTCGCTCTGGGTAATCTGTCGATCGGCTTCCTCCAACCACATAGGTCAGACCTCCTGAGAGAGAGCGTGTTGTGACCCAGGGCTGAGTAATATCTGGGTCTGACTGCACTGAAGTCACAAACTGTACTCTTAAATTCTTCCTTCGTCATTAAAATATACTCAAAGCAGAGCCAGCAAACACATCATTTTGACCCACAGAGGTGGGTTAGGACCTAAAGCTTCCTACCATTCTTAAGGTTACGGTTCATTAAGTATTTGGAGTCATACATCCATTCTAGCCTAGTTTAAGCACTGTGGGTATCACTAGAGAGGGGAGGCTTTGCAGGAGAGACCCATTACAAAACTCTTTGTAAGAAACCAGGAATAACTGGAAGGAGGGTTGGGCGCAGGTGTTTGGGGTGGGGGGGAGCTGTTTGCTTTAAAAGGAAGTAAAAATAGCTTACAGGTAAATTAGTAACTCCTAACTACCAGAAATGTACAGCAGAATAGTTTTACACAGCAAACAGCACGCATGCATAAAGGTTTGAACTGCCCTTTTTACTGCTTCAGGGCCAGGGGAAAGCCTCAGGCCAGGCTACTGGCATGAGCGGTACCTGCTTCAGCAAGCCCACAGCAACACCGCGGCAGCCAGCCACCACACAAAAGGTCACTCTAAGGCAAGAATAAAACCTCTCTCCATAGCCACTAGAGGCTGAGAAAGAAATGTCTTAATCTACAGCAGAAGATGTTTGGGTTAACCACTGGAAAAAGTCGTCTCTTGGCACGGGCAGTTACATGCTGGAACTGATGGCCCAGCGAGATAACTGCCTGTGCCAGCCTATCTCAAACCCGTCTGCGGCAGAGCTCTCGGGTCAGGCGAGGTTCAGGTACAATGAGCTTCCTCCCCTCTCCTGGGGCCGGCGGACAGGATCTCCTGAAATCCCTTCCAGCCTTATTTTCTGGGATTTCTGACACTTGTGCATAAGACAAACAAGCTGCAAGAGATCAGATTCAGTGTCTGTCTTCAGCGTTTCTTCACAACCTCTAACACATCTTCCTCCTCTCCTGAGCTTCCACCCCACTTCGGGCCAGACAGACTCTACGGCAGCTCTGTTACACCCCACAACGGCACAGAGAGTCCAGGGTCCTACACTGACCTCTGTTACAGACTCACAGTGTGACCCTTGCACATTTTAATGCTTTTTATCAGGTTCACAATTGATAAAAACCTTGAAAATCCCACGGGAACACTGCAAGGTTTCATTAACGAGTGTCTGCTATCCATTTTGTATCCCAAGATAAAGGATTCCACAATGAGGAACAGCAGTACTGCAGGCAGCTATCCACGGAATGACATTTCCAGAAGTGCTTAGTATGATCAGATAACATCCTCACTAGACAGTGAATTTTTCTGTTAGTTTAATAGTGTCCCTCAGCTCATAGAAATTCCAGGATTATACCTTCATTTGTCCACTTATTTGCTCTAGATCAGATTTGATCCGAGGTCTTAGACACACGGTACCTCAGGACACTATTTGCTCTCCCAAAGTCCTCAACTTGTTATGAACTTAAAACCTCCAAATCTTTCTTTTACGACACAGAGGCCTGAAAATCACTGAAGTAACAGTCTATTAAATGAGGATTATAGTGCAGGCAGACGGGGTCTGAACACAGATTCCTTGGGTATCGCGAGGAAAGCCACATCACCCAGCAGCAGAGACGCCAGTGTGCAGGAACAGGTGCCCACAGGGAGGGGTGGCTTTGGGATTCGCTGTCCTTTCCACTAGCCTGCAATGCAATACCCAAATGAAGGACAGGATATATGCAGATGAGCAATAGGAAGTTGTCTAATTACTGTTGGAAAACTGAATCAGGCAAGCCCACCCAAGTATATTACGGGGCCCTGTAGAAACTCTTAAGAATCTCAATATTTGACTGGAAAATGTTCCAAAGTCCCTCTGAGGAGGACTCTGGCCACTCTGGTAGA